TGCACACATATGAATTCAGCAGCAAATGTTCTAAAAGCACTGCATATCCTCATCCAGATTATTTTTCTTTGTAGTTACTTGCTTATAGGCCTAATCCAGAAATGTTTAATTTCATATTATCAAAAGAATTCTGTGCAACACTAAGCAAGTTATATTAGGGCAGTAATTAAAGCATCTATCTCTTATGAAAAATCTGAATACTCTTTTTTTGGTTGGCATTATATAAAGAGTTAATCCTCAAGATGATTGCTGATTAAAAACAGTGGGATGGGGGCCGGCCCATGGCTCACTCGGTAGAGTGCGGTGCTGATAACACCAAGGCCCCGGGTTCGGATCCCACATAGGGATGGCCGGTTCGCTCACTGGCTGAGCGTGGTGCTGACAACCCCAAGTCAAGGGTTAAGATCCCCTTACCGGTCATTTTTTTAAAAAAAAAAAAAAAAACAGTGGGATGGGGGCCGGCCCATGGCTCACTCGGTAGAGTGCGGTGCTGATAACACCAAGGCCCCGGGTTCGGATCCCACATAGGGATGGCCGGTTCGCTCACTGGCTGAGCGTGGTGCTGACAACACCAAGTCAAGGGTTAAGATCCCCTTACCGGTCATCTTTTTAAAAAAAAAAAAAAAAAAACAGTGGGATGGGATGCCGGGCTAGATATAAGAAGCTAAGATGATTTTTGTTATAAGCTGCTAACTCAAACGGGTTGTGAAACCAAGCATAAACTAAGTAATAAACAGATGTGAGTCGCCAAATATAGAATGCTCAGTCCTGACTGCCTGGGACACCCATGAGATGATAGGGTGTTCACGGAAAGATACAATTTACAGGTCAAAATGTAATAGTAACCTTTCACTATGCAAATTGAAAATTAACCTTGAGAGTATTGGATCATTTGCAGTTTATAGAGAAGTTTCATTGGAAAAATTCGTAGAGTTCCACTTTCATTTTACATTGGAAATGGTGTTGCAGGGTGTTACTTTGTCCCTCCAGACGAGTTTTCTGTCGTTTCTATTGACGTCCATGTGTCTTTTTTTAGTACTGTAATTTAGAGCATATTGCTGATGCTCTAAATTATAGCACCGTATTATCTGTAGCATGATTTTAGACTCTAAGTTTACTTCAGTATCTTAGTAACGAACTGGAAAGTCAGGGAATGTGAGTTTTAATTGCACCTTCACTGGTGCCACATGCTTGACATGCGACACCCAGTGTCCTGGGAAAGGCCATGCAGTCTAGCCTCCAGCCCTGCATTGCAGTACCAGCAGTGGAAATGTTGACCCATGTCACCACTGCTGTGTGACAGACCACCCCAGAACCTGGGTGCAAAACAGCATTTCAGCTTTCTCACAGGGGATTCATTCTGCACAGTCAGGCAACCCCTGCAAGCATGATGGTGTCCAAACTTTCCATTACTGCCCTGGGCACCGACTATGGGGCCAAGTAGTTACTTCCCAGTTCACTGGCCTTGTCTGAGGCACCCTCAGTGGGCAAGCCTTCACTGCTGTCCAACAAGAAGATTTAAAGCAAGAACTTGCAGACAGCAGTTCCTCATAGTGCTTGACAAGCATTAAGCATTTGGTTTATTACTATTTTCACAAATATCTTCTGGGAAAAGAGCACAGAGATCTTACTAAGATCCTTAATCAAAATAGGCAAAAGTCAAAACCTGCTAATTTCATTTATTTTCCACAAAAGGGAGAAGTTAGTTACCTGTTGAGAGTGAGGGGCTTCAAGTTTATAAAGGCAAAATTCTAGGTGTCTCCCAGACAGCATACTCTCAAAATGCAGCAAAATTAAATACAGTACTTAGGATATGGTCTGACCAGCTCAAAATACAGTACAAGTTCAGGGTCTTTGATCTATTTTTGTTTTATGTTTGATCTTGTCTCTTCAAATGTAGTATTCCAGTCGATAGAGCATATTTTCTAATTTGATCAGTAGCTTTAGATAACAAGCAGGTATTGCCCATATAAGGACAGCTGTTGATTTTTTTCAGTCCACCCACAGACACAGATGTTAAGCAGAAAAGGGTCAAGGTAACACTCTTTCCTAGAGTGTAATTCTTCAACTGGTGTTGAGGGCGGGGACTAGATCCTGCCCCATTGCACTCCACCTGGATTTTCCGTGTAAATCCTGTGCAGATCTCAATAAAGTGCCTGACCCTTACATGCAGGGTTAATTAATAAGATTGGATGCTACTTTTTCTCCTAGTATGAAAACTAATTATTTAACTTCATATTGTTGCATAGCAAAATAATAATTCTATACAGTTAAATCTCTTTAATTGGCAATCTAGTATGTAACATATTGCTATCCCTGAATTTATAAATGAGCAAACTGTATGATTTTATTAACTTAAATGAAGTTTGTATTTCTAAACAGTAAATTTGGGCTGAGGATAAATTCAAATACTGTACATAGTCATTCCCGCTTCATAAAGCAGGTTTTTACATTGTGTCCGGCCGCTGGCATGTGGAATAAACTGGTGCAGAGTGGGGTCAGAGAGCAGTGCAGAGAAAACAGCTGGTGGGAAGAGGACAGGGCAGGTCCCTGTGGAAGAAGTGGAGGCACCCCCCCCCAACCCCCTTGCCCCGCTACCAGTTTTGGGAGACTAGGAGCCCTGCTGCCTGAAAGCACAGGTGTGTGTGATGGATCAACTTCTCTTTTTATCTCTAACAGAGCTAGTTGTGGCCTGCCCTTGGAAATAGAAAACGGCACCTCAAGCCATGTTCTGCTTTCTGGGGTGCAGATGTTGACAAAAGTTGTTTGATTACTCCCCTCCCTTATGTCTTTTTTTATAGAAATGCATTTCTGATTTTGTAACTGAAATAAACCAAAATACAGGATCATTATAATAATTTTACTCTCAATCCTGCTTTTCTGGAATTATTCCATTCCATTTAGTATAGGCTAACTCTATATGTAAACTTTTTAAAGTATCAGAAATTTATTATGGGTAATTTGTTTCCTGATGCATTGACTACATATAATTTTAAATTATAGTAATTTTAAATTGTATAAATATGTCTTTATTAACCTAAAACAATATCCCTGCTTGTCTATTTAGTTCCTTTATGAGATCCTAAAAAATACTGGGGAAGTAAGTTAAGGCCACCCAATAGAGAAGAGATTGAGTAGTATCCATTGTGGATTTCTTTAAAACAAACCAGGCAGGAGCTTGTCGATTTCAGTCATGGCAGTAAACGGCCATCGAGAGGCATGAAGGAGCGTCTTAACACCCACCAGGCACAGGTGATGTAACAGTGGTTTCCAGCTCTGTTCCACAACGTTCTCATCCCATAAAACATCTCTGTAGTCCTAGAAAATATGTAATTTTAAGTTTTTCTACCTTATTGTCTGTCGACAATAGCCCAGCCCCCAACCCTCCGCCCCCAGCATTGTATGCCACTGGATGGAGTTCAAAGCATTAAAAACAAAGAAACACCTCTGCAACCTCAGACATTTGGAAATCTTTCTGGAAGTAGTCTGTACTTAGATTATTGGAAAATTACTTAGAAAATCTGACTTTCAAAGTGATTCCTGTCTGCCCACGAGAACACATGTAAATGGCTTCTGTGAGAAAGGGCTGAGGATAAAATCTTAACATTTTTTGATGATTTAAATGTGCCAAGCATTCCACTGAGTGTGTTTCGAATGTTTTATCTTTAATCCTTACAGCAACCCTGAGAGGTGGCCTCAATCATGGATATTTTATAGTTGAGGAAACTGGGATTTTAGGGGGATATAGCCATTTGCCCAAACTCCAGAACCCTAACCTGCACAGTCAGCCTTAGAACCAGAAGGGCTGGGAGTTTTGCTTTACAGAATAAAAATATTCTCACGTGAATTTTCAGAGGACACTACAATTGAACTACTAATATCCTGGACACTAGGTGGTGGTTAGATTTGAAGGCAAGGACGGGCTCATCCTCCTGGGAGAGACTCTAGTGCCAGAAGAGGCCTGGTCCAGGCCTTGAGAGGTGTCAACGTCACTAGCCAGCAGCAAGGACATGCCTGCAGGGCAGAAATGAAAGACTCGACCCAAAGGAAACCGCTAAAGAAAGCTGCTTTTTCATTGGGCTGTTTTGTCTGGTGAAGTCTCTCATTCTCTGTAGTAGTAGTATCATATCATAGATAGTCTGTTCTCACTGGGTGATATTCCTTTTAACTGCATAATAGGATTGATATATAGTGCTTTAATTAATGTCTCATCATGTGGTTGCTTTTAAACAAACTTTTTTTCAGAAACATTGTCATAAAATATTGTTCATAAATTACTAACTTTAAAAATTATTCTTCCACTTATGATTTTAATAACAAATTAAATAATAATTATAAATAAGAATAGCTCCCATTTTTGAGTACCTGCCATGTGCTAGGAAATTCACTTACATTATTTCAGCTTTAGAACAGCTTGCAAGTATATTTTTCACTTTGCAGAAGGGGAAAGTGAACCTCAGTGAAAGAAAAACCTGACCCCAGAGTTGCTGTCACAGTAGGGGTTGACCTCCTTTCTCCTTGGCTATTTTGTCTCCTTTAAATTTGCAAATATTACATGTGAACACATTAACTATAGAGTTAATCAGTCACCAGTTTATTTCTTATTTTAGAAAAAGATCAGGATAAACATGAGATTCAGATTGTTCTTTCTTCCATGGAGTTCATGGAATCAGGGGTGGAAAGAACCTTGAACAGTTGTTTAATGCTCGGCCTCCGGAACTGATCAGCGCGTACTCAACTCTAGGTTTCAAAACCATCTGACTCGAAGGAGCTAGTAAACACAAATCGCAGAAAAGTCTCTTTATTTTAAAAAGTAAGACCAGGGACTTTTTGTCATGTTGCTTATTTATTGTTCACCTATAAAAACGTTACTTATAGTATATACTTGACATGGCGACGAAAAGTTTTTCTAAATGTGTCATGTCTCTCCAAGCTGCTGTGTAGCTTGTGTGGGTTTCTAAAGGCAGCCAGTGGCTTCATGTGTTGCTGGTCTCCCTTAGGTTGCCCTGGTGCAGTGGACAGAGAGTGTGGGCCTCACCCTGGTCAGCAGGGACCTCACCTCCATGCAGCTGAAGACCCCCAGTGGCCACATCCTGACCTACTGCATCCTGCAGATGTTCCCCTTCACATCCGAAAGCAAGCGGATGGGCATCATCGTCAGGGTAGGTGTGCAGTGCCACTCGCTTTACCCACAAGCCTTGCTGCGAGGGTGCCACACTGTTATAGAAGACTTTTTTCCCCAATATTTTAAGATTGATATGAAAATTTTCCCAAAAGAAGAGTTAAATATTTACTCATGCTTTATGCTTGTTATAGTTTTTTAAAGTAAAATCTAAACTGATAATTTATGACTGAGAAGCTAGTGTGGCTCTGATGATATAAAATATCTAGTAATATAAAGTCTCCTCAGACTTCTAAGGGAAAGTAAGTAAAACATGATACATACTCTCTTTTGAAATCAACTAAAGATGTTTTGTTTGCAACAAAAGTAGCATGCCAGAGAGTTTTAACTTTACAATGATTTATGACCATAAAGTTGCTAAAATATCTCTCTATTAAATTTTTCTTAGCAAATACCAAAAATGTATCTTGGAAGTTGGCTAAACAATGAAGGATATAATCAAACTATGAAAATTTAAGAGAATTAATGCTTACTTTATAGCCCAAGTCATAGATCCGTTAACAAATTTTATTTCAAAAACTTCAGCATGGCATCACAAGATGTGCAGTTGTTTTCTCCATCCTCATCAGCACTAGCACCTAAGGGATGGCATGGACCCCTGCATAGAAAGTACATGAGCAGCTCACCACAAGGGAGTCTGTTCACGGAGAGTTGCTTTCTTCCCAGTGCATTTTCTTTTAGACCAGCAGTTATTGGCAAGGGGCAGTGCAGCCCAAACATACCCATGCTTGTTTTCATTGTCTCACAGGACGAGGCCACGGCAGAAATCACATTCTACATGAAAGGTGCTGACATTGTCATGTCCACCATCGTCCAGTACAACGACTGGCTGGAAGAGGAGGTGAGTTACTCCTAACATTGTGCAAAATGTCTTTACAAAGTTTAGTGAACAGATGACAGAAAAATGGTATCTTTTCCCGAACTTTGCCAGCACTGGTATAATTAGAATAAATTGAGTTATCAAAATTTCAAACCAGCCAGAGAGGTTGCCAAAGATGGTATCATTTTTCCAATCCACTAAATTATTTTAAATGCTTACAGTTCTCAATTTCATAAAGCAGAAAATATAGGAGTCCTATTTAATTATAAATAGTTTACTTTTTTTTTTTTTTTTTTTTTTTTTTTTTTTTTTTTTTTTTTTTTTTTCCG